CATTGACGAGGACGTTCAGTAGGTGCAATGTGGCTCCTGTGGTCGATGAGCCCTTTTCCAATGCGCGGGATTCAGAAAGGACGGTAAGTACGAGTACGTGCATTGCCTGGCCCGTTGACCAATGCGGGAGGACAACGAGACTATCAACATGATCCCTATGGGGCCACCACATTTTGATTACCGTGTTGCTTCTCTGAAGCCATTGTGTTGTTGCCTTCTCAGTTCCCTTGAATGTGAGTCTTGTTTCACTAGCACAAGCCTGGGAATACTAGCTTCATATAGGGGGCGATCATCTGCGAGTTTGTGTGCGGTATATAGAAAACCCCGTGCTTTGTTAAATATTTCGTGAAGATCGACTGATGTTTAACAGCTTCAGAAGATGGAAAGGAAGTAGCGTTCGACTCCATTCGTTAGCCATTTCGCGTAAGTTATATTACTCATAAACACGGAAAGCATTGATAGCAGAAGCGCAGTTATCTACTACGTTCAGACAAGAGAATCAGCTAGTTATTTCAATGAAACTTTGCTGCTGGATACATAGAAGAGAGCTCGTAAAGTGGGACATAACTATATATATATATATATATATATATATATATATATATATATATATGTCCCCCGGTTACCGGTGGACGCGAAGCCAAACCTGCTCGGCTTCCACCCATCACTTACGTAACTCCTTACGCCAAGGGTGCACATGCACGTAGAAAAAAGACAGTTTCCGTATTCTGGCAGTTATTCTTTTGGCCCAACTTCACTGGGTCAGATCACATCACCCAGTGGTCCTCCTGAAAGTGCACCACCACTAGGGGCAAGTTTTTACCCCAAATGGGGATTTCGGGCAATGAGAAGGAAGGACCACTTTTACAAATAATAATTAAGAAACAGTTCAATGTTTTCAAAATATTTCGCACATTTTTTGCCATTACCAGACAGGAATCGACAAAGCAGTTCAATTTTTTAGTCCACTATACGCAAATGACTACCATTTCGTAGATCGGAATGTTTTTACCAAGTAAAAGTCGCCCAATTTTTTCTCACAAAAATATAACAGGTAAGTCACTTACAACTCAACAGGTAACTCGTGTTTCACAATAACCTCGGCAGATCTATTTCGTGTTTTTCAAAATTCGCACCCCAGAAATCCAGGATTCTGCGCCCATTTACAGATCTCCAGGTCGGAACTTACATCGCTACCTACTGGTTATCATGCATGTTTGAAAGATGCGCTAAAAGTAGAGTTTTCCCGCGCCCGGAATTTTGGTTTATACCACACCAAGTTCTGTGCAAACTGCGCTCAACTGAAAGCAACCTTTTAAACCGACAAAAGCGGTACACTATTCCGATAACCCGACTGAAAACTGCAGCCCGAAAACTCTACCGAGGTTTTCCGGGAAGTTACTGCTGCCCCTTCTCCGGTCTTTTTTCTTGTCCAGAGATGAGGTCTCCGGTCACCGACACATCGCGGCGTAGTGCAGTCCTATATCTGGTCAGGTCACTTCAGTCAGTCTTCAGTCTTCAGTCTTCAGGTAAAGGGCAGTGGAAAGTCATCCCGTATGAGCCCCAAGACATCATGCTCCATTGACTCGGCCAGATGTCGGTGCTCCTTCGGAATCCGATCAAATTTCCTCCTTAACAGTGTCTCGGTTTCCTCTTCCACCACTTTGGTCGGCAGAGCGTTCAGGGATTGGTCACTCTCCTTGACAATCGATAGATGGCCGGTAAGCCGGTGGAATGCACCTTACGAAGCGTCAGGGTGTGTCCTCTGGTACCATCATTATTCCTGAGCGGGAATTCCGACTGTAGTTCCCGGCCCAACTCACCACGGATTATTCGCCTGGCATAGATGAGGTCGCCTCGAAGACGTCGATAGGTTATGGGAAACAACTCGGTGACTTCTAGGCGTTCCTCATAGCTGAACCCACGCAGTCCGACCACGAGGTGTGTGGCAGCACTTTGCACTCGTTCCAGTTGGGCTACCTCCGCCGCCCTGCACAGGTAGACAGCCGGACCGCCATATTCCGAGCAAGGAGGTACATGGAAGACAAATGGCAGTCGGAAAGTGTCCAGGGGTAGGGGCCCAAATGAACGGCGAATGGGACCAAGTATCTTCCACGCTGAGGCGCACGCTCTCTCAGTGTGTGCTCTTGTCTTCAGATTGTTGGTGACAACAACTCTGAGGTCCTCTTCCTCCTGCATGTGACAGAGTACGACACTCCCAAGGCAGTAGCCGGTAGTATCACTGGGGCCGCCAATCCTCATGCTGGCGCAATTCGTCCACGTCTATCGGTAGGCCCCAGGTGGCTGACCAGTAGATGAGAGCCTGCAGATCCTCCTGTAGTGTGTGGCCATCTTCTGCCGATCGAATGGTTCGCCAGATCTCTAAGTCATCGGCGTAGATAAGGCATTCAGATCGGATGGTCTGTGATAGGTTGTTCACAAACACTAGAAAAAAGGGTCCTAGCACGGAGCCTTGCTGCACGTTACTGCTAACTGGATACCAAGTGGGCTGGGAATGTGCAACTCTCACGGAAAAAGTTCTCTCGGCCAAGAAATCCTTAATCCAGTGAAGCATAGGCCCGGAGATGTCAATGGCCCGGAGTTTCAGCAACAGCCCATTGTGAGGAACTTTATCAAACGCCTTACTAAAGTCCACAAAGATGACGTCCGTGACATAGTCCTCGGCCTTGAAATTCGACCAACTTTCACGACCAGTCAACAGGTTCGACAGACATGATCTGTTCCGCCGAAAACCGTGCTGCTCTGCGCATAGCAGTTGACAGCGCTCCAGATGTTCACGTATGCGAGCAGCCACCAGCCCTTTCATGACCTTCCCAGCTACGGAAGTGGAGCTAACTGGGTGGTAGTTGGCCAAGGTGGATTATGACCTACCCTTGTACAGAGGAACAACGACTGTTTTTTCCACTCCCGAGGTGGACTGCCAGTGGCTAACGATAAGTTGAGCTACAGCTCAGTGGAGTAGTTAGTTGGTCCGCCAACTCCTTCAACATCAGCGGACGCACGTCTTCCGGTCCCGGTGACTTACGAGTTTTGATGGATTTGAGCATCCAGTTCACTTCCGGCTCCCCTAAATCATGCATAATGAACAGAAGCGAGCCATCCACCATCGGAATTGGCGTACCTTTCACCACAGAGTAAACTGACAGATAATGCTTGGCTAATATCTCAGCCTTTCCGTCATCTGTTGCAACCATTTCGTCGTTGTTCGTCAGCGCCGGGGTACCTACTTTCGCTCTGGTGCGGCGCTTTAAGTACGCAAACAGGCTCTTGGGCGCTCGCACTGCGTCAACCCCAAGGGCCTCCTCGAAAGCCATTCGCTTTATCCGTTTTTGTTTGGTACTCTGGCTACGAATCCTGCGATAGAGATCACAACCCTCACTTGTAGATCGGAACCGCCGCCAGGCCCGATTTCGTCGTCTGAGCAGGCCTCTGGGCTCCAGATGAAACCACTGCGGCTCCCTCACCCGGGGTCTACGTCGGTTGAGTGGGCAGTAGGTGTTCATAAGGTACAAGATACCGTCAGGAATCAAGGCCCAAGTTTTGTTCACATCGTGGTGGGCATCTGAATCCGTGGGAAAGCAGTTGACGTCTAACGCCGCTCTCCGGACATCTTCGAATGGAGTGCGCCAAGCGTTACGTCCAATGTGTGGTCCAAGGGATGGACAAGAACCACTGCATCAGTGAATTTCTAGCACCATGTGGTCATTGCTTCCAAGTGTAGGGAGATGTTCGACCTTATCGACGTCCGAGCTCCTGGGAGAAATCACCAGATTAAGAATGGAGCCGTGATTGGATTGCCTCCGGGTTGATTCCCGAACATGTTGGAGTAGTGCCAGTTCTTGGACCGTTGTCAGTAATTCTCGAGGGAAAGGATCTGCCCCGGCCGCTGTCCTGCCTGATGTCCAATCAGTATGCGGAGCACTGAAGTCGTCCAGGACGAGGCAGTGGCCGTCGCCCTCCCATCTCCTCAATAAATTCAACATATCTGCAGGAGTGACCGAAGATGTCCGATAGGTGACTCCAACTGTCCTAAAGCCTCCGGCGGTAAGTTTGACGCGGCACCAGGTAGTTTTATCGAATCCTTGCGGATCTGTGAACGCTTCTAACTGCGCTGTTGGGATGTCTGGTCGGACGGAAAATGCTACGCCTCAATCCGCTCTGATAGAGTTCCTGCCGACTTGGAATAGGGTGTAGTCAGGGAGGGACATCTCAGAGTCTAGAATGCTGTCACTCAGCCACGTCTCCGCCAGTGCTATCATAGGAGGTGAGCTGTATTGCAGCAAGTATTCCGTGTCATCTGTCTTGTTCGGCAGACCACTGAAGTTAGACAACAGGATGACGGCGCCGCCTCGGCCTGCCACCACCTCCGTTTGTTCAGGGGCCCCTAGCCTGGGGGGACTGACAGGGACGCTAGCATCAGCGGCCTCCACCGAAAGTGAGGGAGCCGTTTCTGCACCCAAAACTTCCGAATAATGAAGTTCGTTTCTCCTTGTCCTATTCTTTCACGTTGTCCAATCAACGAATTTCTATATTTCTCACTATCCGAACGGTCTAGATCTCGGTGCAACCGCACTTGCTCGCCCTTTAGCCGGTAGGATCCCCTCAACACCGAAATCGCGGCTTCCTCAGAGTCCAGCACTACTTTCAGTGGATGGGGGCGTTCAGCTTCAATTTGGAAGGCTGGTTTCATCCACAACTTCGCCACAGTCTCCTCCCCCCGGGGACAGAGTTTTGTTAGTATACTCCGGAGACTCGCGATATCGTGGTCCAGACGTGCCTACGCCGTGGTCTCTTTTGTCTGAGGCAAGTTCTCTGTTAGGAAACACTGCTTCCTCGACGGTGGTGCTCTTCGTGAACGATCCGCCGTTGTTATCCAGGCAGGTCTACTTTCATCCACGGTGGTGCTCCGTTGGCTGGGTATTGTACTTATGATACCGTCCTGTGCTTGAGTGGCCACATCAGTGCCAACTGGGTCCACAATGTGGCGGGCAGGCTCAGGTGGCTTCTGGCTTTGGTGGCATTTTATTGCGGTTGGCCCGGTGACAGATGCGGATGCCAATTCCACGTACGTAGCACAGTCAGGAATAGATACCTCGGCTGAATGTTTCCCTTCTAACGGCGATCATGACCGTGAGAGTGATGACATTGGCGAGGCAAAAGACGATGATGATGCCGCGGATTCTGCTTCTATTGATGGCGATGGACTGATTGACGGTGCCGATGATGATCATGATGAAAAGGGTGACGCTGCCGTATCTGTGGCAGAAAGAGCCATTTTCGGCGACTGCTTTGTCGGCCACACTTGTTGATAGTTCGGTGCATTTGATGCACAGCACCTTGAGGAACTTAGCAAGGCGTTTTGTCCAGGGCTTCATAAAGATCGCCTTTTATTTCGGAACACTCAAGATGGACTCAACCATCACAACCATCACACTGAAGAGAGCTGTCGCGTGAGCTAGACACTTTTGAACAATCTAGGTCCTTGGATGCAATACCTTCGACTCTTTTTGGAGGCTTTGTGGACAATTTATGGTTCACAGAATGACACAACCACAGAAATTACAGTTTCGAGTATTACGCCGAGAGACTTGCCGGTGTAGCGCAGTCAGAACAGTTCAATTCAACTCAATTCAATTCAACTTGTACGGGACTGTGTGTGGCTGAAGCCAATCATGTGTCCAAATGGTTGTGTTGTTGGCGCGTTTCCGTAGCTCCCAGCAAGCCGAGTTCGAGGTGGCAGCAGGTACTCAAGATTTCGTTTTGGAAATCTCCCTTGGACAGCACAAGCGGCCCGAAAGTCAAGCGAGCTTTACCGCGGTCAGATCGGGTCAGAGGACTTGCTTCTGGGCCAACCGGATTCCAGGTTCTTGCGCGCGAGCCTCAGTACCTCACCGTGCTTCGACTGCGATACCATTTTCTTGGCACCTTTGTGTTGAAGGATACAATTTCAGGAGGTGAAATCGGGTTTACCTCCAGTTAAAGTAGAAACTCACATTTTGAACAGGCTGAAACCTGGAACACAGCACGAACACACACTGAGTTGGGCCAGCGAAACATGTTCTAACCCCTGAAGTTAGCTGGAGTGCGGGATATTGCGTGCATATTGAGAAACAGGAGGAAAAAATGAGTACTCAGATGAGGAGGAGTTAGGAGCTGTTAGAGAGTTGGATTTAGGTACGGGAGGAGCTGTAATAGGTTGAAGGGATGATTGACGCAGCTAATTTGAGTGGGAAACTCAGATGGCCAGGCCTTATACAAAGTAACCTTGAACTGCTTGACAGCGTGTGAAGTCACGATGAGTCACGAGGATTGACGAGCATGTCAACCGTCGTTTTCGGATGGCCGGGGTTTCGTCGTCAGGCTGGCTACTCAGAATTGGACAAGATCCCTTGGAAGATGCAGTATATCCCCTACGTCTGGTGTCAATGTGTATAAGATCTGGGATCCAAGTTTTGCTGAAACTTGTGCTTTTCGTTGTGTTCGTAGAAATTTATAGAAGACGTAGGGTTGCAAAAAGTAGGGGGGCTCTGCTTCGTGATACATAGTGCCACAATTCCAGTGTTTCGACCTGGGACTCTACCTAGTTATAACTCCATCCATGAGTGGGGATGATATACTGACCAGCCGATCGCTCCCCACCTACCACGTGTTTGACTGTACGTTTCGCGCACGCGGCAACCGCCAGCGCTACTTCAGACACACTTCCTCGGCACAAGCCAGCGTGCCGTTTCTGTACTCAGAACCAGGGAGAATACACGCGGTTGGCACTCCACGGTCTTTTCTCGTTGACTTCCTCGACGAAAGTGATCGTAGAAGCTGAGGACGTGCGCCCTCCAGTAACCGATGATCCCGTTTTATCCACCGTTTCATTTTGCTAGTCCCCCAGAGGTGACCTAGCCAGGTAGTACCGTCGGCAGTTTTTGTTCGCGGCAGGGCCACGCGAAGAGCGCGATGCCTGAGAGATTTCCTATGGTGGAACCCTTCGTGCCACTCAAGCCGAACGGACTGCAGCAAAATCGAAAATATCTCATGGTCCAACGGTCTATCTTTCAGATCCTTGGCAGTTCAAGACGCAGGATGCAGTCAAGACTAGCATCCCGAATGCTTTCGCATTGTCCAGTAGTTTATCTTTCAGTTCACCAGATGCAAGACACTGTCAAGATTTGTATTTTTAACCCATTCCTCCTTTCCAACTGTCCTGTTATCCAGTTTACTGTCTTCCAACTCACTGGTGACATTCAGATAACAGGATAATCAGAAGATCCAGGAACATTTTGCGCTTTAGCCTCGCACCCGTGTATTACTTCAAGACTTCAAAAATCAAGACTTCGTCGGTCATGTATTCGGCCTGATATTAGTTGGATGTTCTTATAGCTTATGCGGGTATCCTTATTTGACACTTTCAACTGCGCACATTCTTTTCGGAGGCACGGCTGTATTCTTTTCCCTTCAGGTCGTTATCGTCTCACCGGTTAGCATTATTTCGCAATTGTCCCAGGATTTTGCATATCATGGGTGTCAAACAACGTTTTGTAACCCCAAGCTAGTCCACTTTCATAAAGGGTCTTTTCATTAGGGGCAAGGAGACCAGGCCCGAATAAGAACCGGTGCCAAGCAATGAACACGTAAACGCCGGATTTCGTATCAGAAGGTCCGGGGGTTTTCATCGCTACCCTCCAGTCTCTTTTCCAAGAGGCCCCATGTCCAGTCAGCAATCCAACATGATAAGCTGCTCTCCGCAATTCCCGCCTGTGCTGTCCCACAAGTCGGGGATATAGTTATGAACTCCCTGGATCAGGATCCATGCGAAGCACTCCGTAGCCCTCACCAAGCGTGTGGCAGCATCGGAAGAGGAACATAACCGGCACGTTCTCTACGAAACCCAAATGAGAGATATGACAGCCTCACTGTTGCTGCGGAGATTGCTTTCATTCTTAGACGCGATGCCCACGGACGATGCAGTCTTGCGTCAACTGAGGAAGCAGCGGCTTCCAACGTATGTTCAGAGCACGGTGGTTTTTATGATACAAGGTCAGACTTTGGGTAAGAGAGCCCTGGCCACAGAAAAGTCCTGGAGCAGGCTTTTGCGTTTGCCCCACAGCCCCAAGCATCCGCCAACACCACAGTTACCCCTCAAGATTCCGCCGTAAACCCTGCGTCGACACTCACTCAGCACAAAGCTCCCGGTAGCTGCTCTGATATTCAGATTTTATGCCAGAAGGTTTGCCGTTTAAAGCAGGTGGTCGAACAGCACGAGACCATGATTATTAGCCCGCGCTCTTGAGGCCAAAGCCGCCTCCTTTCTACCCGGAATGCCTCGGCAGCAAACCCAAAATCCAACAAGTGTAACCTTTGCCGCCTTTTCTCAGCCCAAGAACTTGGATGCGAAAAGCCCAGTAGTTTCCACCTCAACCATGTGAAGGCGACAGGCTCTGCCAGTCCCGCTTCCCACTCCCCCACTTCACGTGGAAGACAATGCTACTGCCATGCTGACCTCAATCGACTCGGGGCAGAGACCGGTATGATACCAGTTTCAAAACGGCCCACTCTTTCTCTTCCGCAGCTCTCAAACTGCGAGCGGCTAATGGCAGTCTGGTCTTAAAGCACTGCAGTCAGTTTCTCGCCCTCTACCTTGGTAAGCATCGTCCTCTCCAGCGGGTTTCCGTCGTCTGACCGGTGCACCAGGCCATTCTAGGAATAGGTTTTTTCAGAAGGTCATGGTCTAGTAGTGGGATCCGACAAGCGACAGATGGTCGATCGGGTCACATCAGATTCCGTTTTTAGCTTCCTGGCCCAAGCTCAGTCACCAACAGTGGCCATGTCAATTTCCAAGTCCTAGCCAGCACTTGACAGTCTATTCAGCGATTATCTTAGACTTGTCCGCCAAAACAACAATCCGCTTCCAATCACCTCTGATGTGGTCCATCGCATCATCACTCAAGAGTCACCGGTATAAGCTCGACCGTGCAGGATGGCTCGAGGCCAGCTCCGTGTGGTCTGCACCGAGTTCCAACTACACTCAACTTGGGGGTTATCCGGCCTTCCAACAGTCCGTGGGTATCACCCCTACACATGGTCCTGGAGAAGTCACCTGATGACTGCCAACCCTGCCAACCCGCTTGCTCAACCAAGGGACCACGCCCGACCAATATCCTATTCCGTTTGTTGCGGACCTCGCAGAGGGTTTTGTGGGTAAGGTAATTTCCATTCGAATAGATGTGGTGTGGGCAAACAACCAAATACCAGTAGCGGAAACAGGTATCCCCAAAACTGTGTGACGACTCCTTCCGGTCTTTCCGAGTCTCTAGGAATGCCGCACAAGCTTTCCATGGAGATGGTATGCAGTGGCTTGGAGTTTGCGTTCGAAGATCGTGCGGGGAACTCGATTTTCGGCTCTTTTAGGCGGAACATTTATCACACCTAAGTACACCCTGCGGCCGCTTGTCCAAACGAACGGTCACGGCCAACGCCGAAAATCGTGTATTAGGCTTCGACGCCACTGGCCTTCCAGGTCACAAGGCTACTTTCACAGGGGTCATGCCATCGCCAGATAGAGGGCAGACTATCCCAAACTACCCAGAACTCACGTCATCCAAGCAAATACGGAGTTCCAAGAGGGTAGTTAACTTTTATCGGCGCTTCATTCAACAATGCTCTCAGCCAACCCAGCAGCTCACGTATCTGTTAAAGAGCAAAGCTAAGCAGCTTGTTTTCACAGGAACCGCACGAGATACTTTCGGTTTACCGAAGAAGGCTAGCAGCGACACGGCCTCGTTATCACATCTAAAGCCAACGAACCCAATAGCCTTAGTCACCAACGCGTCGGACAAAGCCGTAGGTTATATACCGCAACCATGCTTAGCCGACACTTGATAACCCGTTCAATTTTTTCGCAAAAGCTACACCCCACCGAGTCTAGGTGTGTCACTTTTGGCCGCGAAGTTCTTGCTACCTACCCAGGCTACCACCACTTTCAGCGCATCTTAGAGGGCCGCAAATTCACGGTCCTCACCGACCATAAACCAATCATTCACGCTTTAAGCACCACCACTGGTAGATACTCCCTGAGCGTCCAGATATCTGGATCATATCACCCAATTCACAGGTGATGTGCTTCGCATCTCAGGTGCCGATAATCCTGCAGCAGACGCGGTACATCGCATTCACAACCAAGACCTCAACACCCTCAATCCAGTCAACCTCGAAGCCTTCGCTTCGGCACAAGCAGACGATCCCACGGTAAAACAAATCCGTGGGTTTTCATCGCTGCTGCTCCAGCCGGTTCCCATTCCTTCAGCCAAAGGCTACG